GTCTGCTCAAGAAGGGATTGGAGTTCAAGGATCTGTTGCGCATCACTCATTGCGTATAATGAGGATTGATCGCAGACATCTTCAAAGCTGACAGTATCCCCCAGGTTTATGAATGATAGATCCTGCGCAGCCGATGAGGCAATCTCAAGGCTCCCGTCAACCGGTGACTCGAACTACATGTACTGATTAGATGTGATGAGTACCTAAGTCCATGGCGGATCCACTTACAAGATATGTTGAAAGTTGTCGAGCCGGATCAAATAGGTACGGGATGTTGTTGCGCAAAGGTGGCTGGATGTCTACAGGCAATTCATCCACAGCGATAGTTTCCAGTTGCATAGGGAAAGGGTCGAAGACTTGTGGTGTCCTGCAAGGCTGCATGTGCCCATGGTTGATATATGCCTGTGTGATTGGAATACGTAAGTAACTATGAAATAGTATATTGGGTGTGCACTTACCAGGCCCTGCGAGATGTCTTTCGTTTGACCATCTCGTCCAGGGGCCTGGTTTGTGCAATTATCTAGACCGATCTGAGACAGAGTACCATTTAACAACGAAAACTCTGTTCCAAACAGCTTGCTATCTTGCGAAGCTGACACGGCCGATGCAGGACAAACCAAGTCACCCAAAGACGAGACGGACGGTGTATTTAGGCAGAATAGCGTATTGCTCGGGTCAAAAGAGTCCTTCAAATCCGCATTGATGACTTCTGGACGACTGGTTTTCCACAACCAGTGTCCATTAGTTACATCATATGGGAAAGAATGACCCTCCTGCCGCGAGGTAATTGCATGTTCTGGATAATATCCACTCCGTAGCGACCCTTCGGGTAAGTTTGGTTCGTCCTGCATCGACGTGCAGCGACAACATGTGCAATGCAAGCCATTCATTTTGGCTTTGCTTTGCTACTATAAGATTCTACGGTCTTCCGGCCGTTACGCGCCACTCAAGCAGCCGCGGTTTTTTGTCTTTCTCCTTCTTCTTTCTCCTTCCTTTTCTTCAAGATCGATTTCACGACGGAATCCGGCGCGTTCGTTCATCAAACAGCAACTGAGATCCCGACCTTCAAGCACTATGCTTTTCCCTTGCATCAAAACGTGGCAAGATACGGAGATGCAAGTGTTGAGTCTCCAAGCTTGTAGAGGCAGCAGGAATGCAGCGCCGCCGCCTTGCTTTTCCGTGAATACCTCTATCTCAGGCTGAGAATCTGGGATCGTTCCGCCAACGTGCTCTGCTAACGATAGTGGATTATGTGCCCAGCAATTCCTAACCATGCACTCCAACAAGGCGCAAAGCAGGGCTGAGTTGTAACTTGGACCAACTGTTTAGCATTATTAGCGACTGTACGGCAGTAAGTAGGTAGGTGGGGTTGATTTACAACTTGCTGGCTGGAGTCTTCCGTCGCTGTACCGTTGGGGTGCGCCTCAGCGATGATTGCGAGTGTGGTTTTGAGTCCACAAGCTGGCAAAGCTGGTCCTGTTCCTGCTTTTATGCGTGTCGCGCAAGGAGTTCTGGCTTCGAAGGGGACTTGCTTGCGTTTGTGAAATCGGCATTTCAGAGCTGAGCCACCACCACTAACAAGGCTGGTACGTATGTAGGTATGCATGCAAGAAATGGCCTCCCGCTGCGATTCATCCAATCATCTGTGCAGATTGCGCGAAATTTTCTCACTGAGGCCAAAGGAACGTGCGAGAAACCTGCCAATTGGAATACAAGGGGGGCGTTTGGTGAGGCCAACAGACCAGAACACATGCCGAACCTGCAACAATCAGGCGCTCGAGGCGCAAGGGTGTTGCGCCCGTAGCTGATCAAAGTCTGTCAATTCACTCCGCGAGTATGCGCTGTCACTGTCCAGAGCCTCAGGTACTCATCACATCGTTGTAGCACCCAAATAGTTTGAAGCGCGTATTCTGGCTGTGACTGCATTCATATGCATTCCAAATGAAAGCGTTCACTCTGACATCCCTGCGAAACACGACCGCGTTGTAGTTGAACGTTTCTTGGCAATGAGCGAGGTTGATTCTCTGAACGTCTGTGAACCATCATGCCGCATACCGAGTACCTGCAAGCTTTTGCAACGCTTCGTCTCGCCTATTCAAGACTCCTTGAGCCTCTTGTGTGAAGCGCGTCCTGCAAGGTGCGCTGTTGTGAAATAATTTCTAACTTTGATTCAATTAGCTCAGTGGCCAGACGTCACAGACAATTAGAGACAGAATGGTTGCCAGGCCCCGGATTTGGTTTCGATTTGGAGGAGCTCAAAAACGTATATTTACATGTCGGGGTCGCGGTTCAAAGATTTGATTAGCATTGGCATTGATCCACGAACTGTCTGCTCATTAACCAATGGAACTCATGGAATGAGAGCCCAAACCAAACATTTAAACCGACATTCTCGTACGCCTTTCTGCTTATTATCATTATCTGACTGTTTCTCAAACTTGCTTATCCTTATCTGTATCTATTTCGCCAACAATTTGTTGACTTGAATTAACCCCGGCGCCGCCAATGTCTCCGCTGCTATGTCATCTGCATCCGCAAAGTTGGACGCCTTTGTCAGCGCCGCAATACTCAGACCATCCATGATATTCTCCGTGTAGGGAAACTCGGCATCAAACGTGATGGTATCTCCAAAGCCCTGGACATTGGAGATAGGCACCGAGATGGGCAGCTGTTGCCCCGTGAGGTACGTGATGAACAGATTCTCCTCCGAGATGCTGCCGACCTTGATCCCAGACTTGCTGAGGTCGGCCGAGAACTTGAGGGTCATGTCCTTGGCCTCGGGCGTCGTCATGACTTCGAGCACCGGAAACGTCGGGATGGGTATCGCCGATATGTCAAACGGGCACGACACAATGAACTGCTGCAGCGCAGAAAAGGCAAATGGCCCCGTGTTGGTTGTCAAGAACGGTTTCTCGGACGGACTGCGCTTCAGCATGAAGCGGTAAAAGCCTGTCTGCTCGCCTTCTTGGCCAATGATGGAGGCGACCTGGCGGATGATGCCGCTGGCGTCGCCATTGTCGGCAAATGACTTTTCTGCGCTGGCGAGCGTGCCCAGGACGACGCTGGAAAATGTCACGGCTAGTGACAAGGCCGATTCCAGATCGACTGAAGGGAATTTGTATTCGCAGGGTGCGGGTATGAGTGATGCATTGAAGTGGTTCAGTACTTCGAGCGCACTTATCACGTGAAGCTCTTCTTGCTGCGAGGTATTAGCTTCCGGTAAAAGGTCAACATCATACGATTCACTTACTGCCTTGACTGTTTGTAATATTTCGAGTATCTCTGCTGTATCGCTCATTCCTGGAGCTGACTGATACCCCTCCACATTGTTGGTAATGTTTTCAATCAATGACGAGAAGAATGCCACTTCAAATTGCTCGTTGAATGCGATGAGCTGGAAATTTGCCACGCCTTCCTCGCTCAGCTCTATCGGAGGCTTTGCATTTGATAGTGAACCGCCTGCTGTTGTTTGTATTTGCATGAGTTGTTGATTATCGGGGTTGGGAAATCCATCGCTTGCAGGAATGGCATAAGCTGCCGCAAGTCCTAATGCAGCCGCACCACTGATGAAGTTTCCGTAAATCATTGTTTGGTGCCTCTATGGAAAAGAAGCCATTTCAGAGTTGATGTCGTGGTTCTCGAGGTTGTTTATAATGTCTTGTCAATGTGCACAGCCGGGGCATCTTGTGTCAAGGGGAACGGATGGTGCGGAAGTCATCCTGAACGGAGTTGACATTCTTCTCACCTGAAAACGAAATCGGACGAGCGTAGATGTCCGTCTCAGTGTAAACACTACTGTCGAGGAGACTATCGCGAAGATGTTCGCACGGCAGTTGAAAGCGCCGCTGCAAGATACCTAGGGGTAATGTTTCGCGATACATAGGTCCGGTGCACAGATATTGTAAATGGCAGGCTGTGCCGTCCGTTGTTTTGTCCCACTAAAGAAGGGTAGAGCTACAGGTGAGCGCTCGATCAAACATGTCGACTTACACGGACGGGGAAGCGCAAGCAAAATCGTGCCGAGCGCCGCTGAGAGCTAGCCCTATAATACAGTGCTCTGGTCGCCAAACGTGGAGGGAGCCCATGTTCGTCCAAGCAGTAAGCACAGCGGGGGATGCGTTCGCCAAGCCTTTATGGTAATGGGGATCATAGCGCTATGCGATAGAAGCTATTCGCTGAAGGTGTCTATCAAGGACGGACATGGATTCACACCATGTCGCTTACCCTGTACGGCTTGTTATTGAAGGATGGTACGGCAAATCAGAAAGCAGATACTATGCTAGATGATAAAGAATCCTCATAATACAATCAGGGAAAGTCAGGTCATGGTCGTGTCCTGAAGAAAGCTAGTATCGCAGCTCGGACCTTTGCGCCAAGCTGAGACTGGAGACTAAAGAATTAAGCTTGATTCAGCATGACTTGAGACACCCCAAGACAAGAGTTCGGATGATTTGGGATATCATAATGTTGATAAAGCTTTGGCCTATTGAAATCCGTCGGCTACCATCAGTCCCGAAGATTTGCAGATTGTCAAAGTTGATCATGCTCGCTCATTGCCGTGGACTTGGATTGCCGGTGGCTCAGTGGAAGTCGACAGGTGCCTGTCACCCACCGGACTCCGTAGAGCTTGATCAGTGAAAGTTAACGTGGGCATTGTGGGGAGACTGGAGATGTCGGTACTATAGACCTCGTCATTGAACAATAAGACAGACATACTTGAATTCAATGATTGTGTACCGATCAAAGACAACGAATTCTTTCACAGCTATACAAACCCATAAATGAATCTGAAACAATTCACTTCGGCTATAGGCAAACACCCGCAATGATAGGTCCGGCACGTTCCCGTCGCAATGACTCGATCCGCACAACAAACGGCGATCCCCAACCACCCCGACGCCATTGAAAACTCTGACCATTCGGCCCCGCACTTCTAACATATTTGCCAATAAGTGCCCCCCTCTCAACAAGCAGTGAAACAATTCACAAGCTTCTCTATTGGTCCGTTGGCAGAATTGGCATTGCGTCTGACTACGACAGCTCCTGTTCATTCAGGGTGTAATCAGTTGACATCAGGAGATTCTGGGTTCGATCCCCAGGCGGACCTTTACTTTTGCGCGTTTCGAAAGATTGTGATGATTTTTTGTTGTTTTGACGCTCATCATGGTCGAACATACATCGCGAGATGTGTGCACGTGATCTTCAATTTTTGGTACCAGAGTATTGGGACGCTAAAAACCCAAGCGCATGGCACCAGAACATTGCAAAACAACAGGAAGGTGCGTTCTACTATTTCCTGGCTGTTTCAAATAGTTCTTGCTTGTTGAAGGTGATGTTTCACGTTTTGCATTGTTTTCAAGTGCAGGTGCACTGGACGCATAATTATGACTATAATTGTGCATGCTAAGGCACGCCATCAAATATGCCATTCTCATGATGTATGTAGACAAGCAACTCAGTGCTTTCCCCGGCATGGTCGATGCATCAGGGTTACGTCCTCGGGCCGACCAGATGTATCCAGTGTACCCCATTCGCTTTACCGGGCAGAAGATATCATAGCCTTAGGAGAATCGTAGTGGCGAAAGTACTCCTCACTGGGGTCGGCAGCTCTGTAATGCCTCGGTGCCCACGCGATGCAAGACAGTGGATGTCATTGGAGATGGCCCACTTGCGCCTGCTGCCCTGTTAAGGATGTTAGAGTCAAGCAGCAAGGGAACATATATCTACATTTGAGGAATTGAAAATCATCAGCTTTGTAGATATATATCGTCAAGAATCCATATTCTTTGCCGCGAATGGGACTGGCCAAAGCTTGTCCAGAGCAATACACTTCAAGTGATAATTCCTCCAATCAGTCCTGTACTATCAGCTTTCGGCTCCTACTCACAGTTGCGAAAAGTCCTATGCAGTGTGCCGACGACTATTGGAGCATGCGAACCTACCTACTACCACCCACCATAATGACGAACGCCTCTACCAACCTGAGAGCTATGTGGCCCCATTCGGTCATGATCGTCATGCAACCATCTTCGGGATACCAGTGGGGGCAGAACACCCGATAAGCTCCCATTTCTTCTTTTGGGTTGTGGGAAAAATTAGAAACACTTTATCGATCGAATGACATGTGCTCGAGCAGTTGAATACACCTTGATGTGGCCCATTTATAGTAACCATGGTTCGTAACGAGTGGCAAAATACCTTGAATAGTGTAGTCCTCTCAGACAACCCTTACAACAATATCTGCATTTACTCGTTGCATTCAAGCATGTTCAGCTTGACATTTATGGCGAGGCTGTCAAACCTTTTGACTAGAAATCGCGGAATTCGAAATCCGGAAGTCGGGGGACAATTACTATGGAGTCCGCATTCCACTTGAACATTGAAAGGGATCCGTACATGATGCTACCCATACAGCTTTGCAGAATTTGCTCTGCAATGCAAACAGTTCTCTCTCTGTCACAACTGTAGATCATGCCCTCGTTCAAGGTGCCGACAGAGAACGAGGCTCGCACTACCCTGATTGCTGACCACGACGACCCGAACGGGTATGAAGCGACATGCAAGAATATGCAATTATTATGCAAGCTGCATTTCAACTCCAATCAACTACAGCTAGACCCTCACATACGTGCAATTGATAACTGTGTTACCAATGGCTCATGTATGGTCCGGGATTGTCAGCATTGCGAAATATGCAGGTTTATCGCACAGTTGTTACGAGCTGTGTGCTTTGGAGTACGGCAGCGTCAGCCGTTCGAACGCGAGGATTAACGCCATGTCTTATGTGGTGCGACTACCCAGAATATAACAAGATAGACAATCCCGATCCGGAAGATCACAGCTGTTGCAAGCGTAATTTGACCAACTTCCGAGTAACAATGATCCTATGAGTCCTCGACCGCGAATCTTGGACATCAGCCATGTATTTTATCTCAGGTTCGAGCAGGGACTCAGCCTTGCAGTATCCCGCGCATATCGGAGCATGGAGGAACTGGTCGCGAGGACCGATTATGGGAGCGACGCTCACTTTGAAAAGACAGGAAGCAGACTTTCTGATCGCCCTGACAGCCTTCTTTGTCGCCTTCGTAGGCGTCCGCTTCTGGAGGATTATCTGCTTTGCATTGCACAGAATCTTTTCGACAGCCAATCCCAAAGACGTGGTCTACCACCAACGTCAGGCCATTCTGCGTAACTCCTCGGCACCAGAGGGCGACATTGAATTGCTACTGCGACTGTTTTGGAAGAACCGTTATTCAAGGCAGGGACTCAAGCTCTTATCCACGGCCTTGTTTGCTTGCACTTGTCTCATTGCTTTCGTGGCTGCTGGCGCCTTATCCTCGCGAATCTCCACTGGTGTTGGCGATGAAGTCTTGATCAAAAGCGAGCGCTGCGGCTTTTACTATTCGTCAAACCCAGAGGTCAATTCCGACCGCTATCTCTCGCTCGCTTACGCTGCAGAAGTACTCGATCAGGCTGCCAACTACGCACAAAAGTGTTATCTGAATGGTAGCTTCGGATTAGACTGCAACCTATGGGTTCGAAGTCGACTTCCAGGCACCGTCGATTATAAGGCAACATGTCCCTTTGACGATAGCATGTGTCAAACCAACACGGGAAACATACGAATGGATTCCGGCTACGTAGATAGTCATGACGATCTCGGCATCAACGCACCAGCCCACGAAAGGATCCTGTGGCGAAACGTTCTCCATTGTGCGCCACTGGTCACTTCGGGGTTTACAAGCCAGCAAAGCACACCACTCCATAACTTAACCAGATATCATTATGGTTCTTTCATCTCGCCCGACGGGCCACGTGATCATGTAAGTGCTACAGATGTGTCCCATCTTTTCTTTCCAGCAACCGGATGTTCAAGCTTCTGATACGTGTCAAATCTAAGATCTACAGTACTGCAGATGTGCAGTCACAATATGAACAAGTCTTCTCCAATGACAGTATAATAGCATACTCGACTTATTTTGTCAAGTGAGTTTGACATCTTTGTACACACTTCATCAAACAGAAAATTCTAACACCCAACTTGCAAGTTCTTTATCAGCGGACAGAAGGAATGCAACAGCGTATTCCCAAAATGCCGATTTCAAACCGATCGACGAACTCGTGCGAACAGACGCGGATGTCATCTTGACTTTTCTCTCGGGCAATGGGGTTTTGAATATGAATCCACTGACGGGTGACTGGTACCGCACAGCAGATGAACCCTTTACCGTATTTGGTGCTGGAGCTACAGAGGAAGGAGCTTTTAACGTCTATCTTCCCTCTGAGCCTGCATCGCCCATGGGCTGTGTCAATCAGTACCAATTCTGCAGCACTGAATACCCTGGGACCACGGGATGCGGGCCTTTAGAGAGTCTCCGAGGTGCCCTCGCCGGCGTGGCACCGTTTTTCAACACATCATACCCGGAGTTTCTAACGTTTGTTGAGTCTGGAAACGCTAGTTCGACCCAGACAGCTCGCTTTGACTACTTTGCCACCGTTTTCTTCGGTGTTGGCAATTCACTTGACCAGATACTTAAGCAAATTGGCTCGTCAGGGTTGCTCTCGCAAAGAAGTATTTTGGGCGGCCAGCAAGCGTTGCTGCCACCCAACCAGTGGCAGCTCGACATGAGATATCTGTGGGACACTTCTCTGGCGGCCGTGCAAGCAGGAGTTGTGCAGCATGTATATGGACCAACAGATGCGGCTACACTTCAGTCTTGGCTCAAATTTACTGGACCAGAGATGGAAAAGCTTTGCAGTAGTCAGGTAATCATCAGCCCACTTCTACAAACATGTCTACATGACTCACTATCACACATGAATATTGACGAATTTTACAGAAAGTTCGGAGCACGGCACACGGGTCATTCAGTCTATTCGGTCTATCATTCATCTTTGTCGGAGGCAGCATCATCATTCTAATCTCCTACCTCCTAGAACCCGTATCCTCCTTCCTCCACAATCGCTGGGGCTACAAGAAGTACTCGCACCTAGAGTGGACGTCCAACTCGATGCTCCACCTCCAACGCCAGCGCATGGCGCACGAGGAAGCAAGCCTCGGCACGTGGCCCAAGAGCGTGGAAACGCTACAGGCGAAGACTCCGAGCGACATGCTAAACTGTCTCGACGTGACTGATGCATCCCGTCCCATCCTCCGGTCCATCAAAAAGGCCGAGAAAGTGCGGTCAGCGAGGACTTCCGTAGAGGCACCCGAAGCCGACATTTCAGATGTCTCAGCATCGAGTCTTTGTGAGACTTTCAACACACTTCCTATGAGCGTGTTGGACAGATCATCCTTCCATGCAGAAGAACGAGTGACAAGTCCAAGGGGTACTTGGGGATCGTTCACGACCAAGGCTTCACGGAGCAATACCGACCCATCAGCAAGGACAGAATGGTATTTGGACGATGGCGAGAGTTCTTTATATTCGCAGCGAGTGTCATTTCAAGAATCACAAGCTCCGCAGATTGTGACTCAGTTTGATTTTGAAAGGGACGTTCCTCCACGAGGGTATATTGCCAATTATCTATAGAACGACGTCAAGTATATATAGATTTCGCTTCATGTACAGTGTCATCCGTGTCCTGATTATGCAGGACTATTTCTTCCTGCGCAACAGACAATGTTCACCCCATTGTCGTCTGTATTTCTGAGGCACGAGATCAGACTCGGGTACCCACAGCACGCGCGCGAGCAGATGTGTGTTTCCGGCATCTAAGAAGGGGACACACTTGACAACTTCCCAGTTCTCGGTGTCCTCGATGTAGTCGGGCTCGTTTGGTGGCAACGGATCCTTATTCAGAGGATAGTGGGTGTCGACCAGGAATGAACATTGTCGAATATCGGTGTACTTGCCCAGATCCTCCTGGTTGAGACCATTCATACCACTGGTAGGCAGCCAAGTACCACTCCAAAGACCAAATCCGGTACGCGCCTCGGAGAATTCGCCTGGCAAAAGACCTCGAAACTCGGAACGGACAAACTTGGCATGCATGTCACGGGGAAGGAAGTAGGAGCTGGGGAATCGGTACCACTCTTTGCCAAAGCATACACTGTCTCCCTTTCCTCCAATTCCCTCTTCTCCTGTGACACCTGCGCCCAGGGGA